GTTTCCGGTACTCCCTAATAAACCTTGAATAAGTAATCATTAAACTAAGTCGAGCTTTGCGTGTCAAGAATGCAATGTATGCATTAAATATGAAAAATAAAAGAAAAAATAATTGGAAGGAGAAAGAAGAAGAAGAAGAAGAAGAAGAAGAAGAAGAAGAAGAAGAAGAAGAAGAAGAAGAAGAAGAAGAAAAAGAAAAAGAAAGAAAAGAAAAACCGACCAGAGAAAAAGCGGCGAATAAATAAAAAGAAATATTCACAAATCATAAAGACACTAAACAAACCGAAATTCGTGATTTAAACCTAACTAGAATCTTAAAGACAGAAAAAAAAGAGAAAGAATATATATATGAAGTTTAGATCTATTAACGAGCTATAAAGATAAAGAAAAAGAAAAAGAAAAAGAATAATAAATAAAAAGTAAAATAAAAAAATATAATGAACATTTATATACGATTGATGTGAATTTAGAAAAATCTCTTTCTCTCTCTCTCTTTCTATTTCTCTTCATTTTATTCGCTTAGATAATTTTAATTAAAAGAAATATTTTAAGCTAAAGTGAATTCAATCTTTAAAATAATTAATTGTTTAATTAGATAATTAATTTTTTTTTGTAATTCTACTTAACAACAAGTTTCTAATCTTTTCAAGCGATCAATCGGAACATCAATCACGATATTACGATTATCGTGAAAAAAAAGAATTACATAACTATATAAATAAGTACAAGACAAAATTAGAGAAGAGAAAAGAAGAGAAGAGAGAGAGAAAGAGAGAGAGAGAGAGAGAGAGAGAGAGAGAGAGAGAGAGAGAGAGAGAGAGTTGAACGAAAATTGAACGAGAGTAAACGTGTGAAATTATCTTTGAAATTTTGATCTTTGAAATATACTGCCTTATCTAAAGTTCCCAAAAAAATGACTGCTCCTTTTGAAAGGATTGACCCTCGTTAAAAAAAAAGGATAATAGTAATTTTCTAAAGAGCTGCAAGACATAATGTGAATGATCCTATTATAAATAATATATATATATATATATATATATATATATCCCAAATAATATGGAATTGTATTAAATATATGACATATTATATACATTACGATGTGAGTCGTTTGACCAAAAGAAAAAAAGAAAAAAGGATAGAACAAAAATAAAACAAGATAAAATTATTTTGAAATTGATTACGGATTATTTTGAAATTGATGGCGGATCGGTGATGTTCTATGTTGATTGAATTGACATATATATGTTTGCCTGGATCATATAACGTATCGTTAAAGATATCTATTGTACGACTGCCTTGATTGATCACACATTTGAAAAAATAAATAAATAATGAATATAAATATAATGAAGGGGAACTTCGAAATATATATATACAATATATATATATATATGCACATACACATATATATATATATATATATATATATATATATATATATATACCGGGTGTTCAAAATGAAGTGTTACAAAATGAAGAATTTTTTATTTCAGAAATGCATCATATTTGAGAACAATTGTTCAGACAAAAGTAATCCGATCTTATGGCTTAAATATTATCGCATTTATAGTTTTTTGTGGAAAATTTTTAGTGGAAAATTTCAAGGATATTTTAGGATTAATTTTATTTCTTTTTTTAACAATTTTTTTACAAAAGCAACATATTCTACATAAAAAAGAAAAAAGACAAAGAAACTACGAAATATAACAAAAAAAAAACGAGTAACATTTGTCTAAAATATTTTTTTAATCCACTTTAATTTTCCGAAATATTAAACAAAATATGTGTTTCTGAAATAAACATTTGCAATATTTTGTTTTATATACATAATACCCGGTATATAAATAAATAAATAAATAACAATATGTATATAAAAGCGGATTAATTTCCGCGTTTACTTTCGTTCAATTTCCTTTCACTGTCGTATAAAATATCAAATCTTCGTTAACTATAATAATATCGTTAGGGAATGTTAAAAATTGTTTATTCGATTAACAATTTAACGAATAATAATAATAGCGCGCTTATAAATGCACGGCTATGATGCGCTGCTAATCGAACGAAGTATCGAATATTAAGGGATTAAGAAGAAGAGAAGAAAATAAAATCAATAATAATAATTAATTAATTGATTAAATAAATAAATACATAAATAAATAAATAAGTAAATGAATAAATAAATAAATAAAAGTGTACTTCGTGCGTGCTTAAAAACGCTCATCGTCAAAGTTGAAAGAGTAAATAAAAAATAGTAATAATAATAATTAAAAAAAAAGCAGCAAGAGCAAGCAAACAAATAAGTAGCATCAAGCAATCAGCAGCATCAGCAGCAGCATATTTAGAACGTGCTCGTGTAATATCGTAGTGAGACTCGAGATGTCATTCATATATAGTAAATTCAGATACCGGTGTCCAACCGTATTAAACTATTTCTGGTTTAGTATGATAATTTAAGAAAACAAATAAAAATTTTTTTTAAATTAAAAGAGAAGAAAAAAAAACAATATAATCTGATGATTTTAGAAAAAAAAATATTTGAAGCTCGACCTTGGCCGAATTTGATAAGAGCGGAAAAAAATAATACATACATATATATATATATATATATATATATATATATATAATTTAAAAATGATAAACAATTTGATATCATATTCCCTAAAATGAAAATCAAAAATCCAAAAGAAATTTGGCTGACCGCTCGTCATATGTTTTGTCGTTGTTGTTTTCTATTTTTACTTTTCTCGTTAAACAAAAATTCCGAGGAGCACTATGATGATAACGAGTCGTATCTTATCTTATTGATTGTATTTTGATCTTATCTCTCAAAGCTGATATTGTGAAAAATCTATATCGAAGGATCATCGACGAAGGAAGGACATATCTGCAAAACATCGTTTCTATTTATTGTTATAGTAGATGGTAGAGTTCGAAACAGTTATATAGTTGCGAAAAGGAAAACAAAGAATAAAAAAAAAATAAAGAAAAAAAGAAAACAAAAAAAAAAGAAAAGAAAAAACAATATGCAAAGAAAAAGAGATAATATCTTCCTTCATATTTTTCATATGAGGGAATTATTGTTATGCTGGTGGTCTAAACTCCAAAGTTCGAGCCTCGAGTAATTTATTATTATATTTTGCTTCTTCGAATTTATCTTCTCGACATGTTCACACGTATACATGCATATATATATATATATATATATATATATATATTTTAAATAATATTATATAACAGATATATAATATATTTTTATATTTTAATAATATTTTATAATTATATAACATTTTATGTATATAAAATTATAGATTTAATTTCTTTAAATTATAATATAATTTATATATATAATATTTTATATATAAATTTATGTATATATTAAAAGTAATATATATATAAATTAAATATTTAAATAATTTAAATTTAATATATATATATATATATATATATATATATATATATATTAAATGTTGAATTAAAAGAATTAGCAGGTCAATATCTTTTGTGTAATTAAAAGTAAAAAAAATTCTTAAAGAGTTTACATCCGGATGTTATTATTAATATTATTATTTGTGTAAATTATTATATATCTATATATGTATGGGTGTATATGTATATATGTATGTATGTATACGTTGAAAAACAATTTTTACATCGAGTCGACACTGGCATCGGAATATACAAGGTTGCTAAAATTGCGTGAAAAAGAAAGATATATATGTAATAATATTTCCATATTAATGAGAAATATCTTCCTTCTCCCCTCTTGCCCCGCTCCACTTTCCTTTTTTGCAAATGATCTCGATCGTTTTAGTACCTGTTATATTCAAAGTTAGATCTCAATACTTTGTCCCGCTTAAGATTTTTAATAAAAAAGAAGAAAAAAAAAGTATAATAATAATACCAATAGATAAAAACAAATAAATAAACAAATAAAAATAAGTCAGAGAGCGGATCAATGTCTTCTGTAAACTATTCTAGTTAAAGTAGAAAGTTCCTAGAAAGTGTACAGCCGATTATTATTATTATTATTATTGTTATTATTATTAATATGACAATTATTGTTACATTATTTATTATTTATTAATTAATGATAATTATAATATTAGTCCACCTAGCGGTGAAATAGTACAAAGAAAAGCCACGTCGTAGACGTATCATGACATATGAATGTAAGGAAGCTGATTAGTTGATTAGATAGTAAAGAAATACTGATGTCTCTTTTTGGCATATATTAAATTTTTATTATAACAAACGGACAAACAAAAATTCTTAAAAAAGTATAATTGATAATCTAAAAAAAAAATGTCTATTAACTTCTGCCAAAACTATATCTAATCTTTATTTTATTCCAATATCGTATCTTTCATTTAACATATTAATTTCTTTGATATATGATTAAAAACATTTTATGATACATCAAAGTATTTCGTATACTATCTGATCAAACCAAGTTGATCGATCATCTAAAATGATTATTTTCTTGGCCTTGTGAGGCCTACTCTTCTGTAACTGTAAGATTCAATAGTATGTGAAAAAAGAATAAAATTGCAAGAAAGAAATGAAAGTTTTTTTTCATTGCATATTATATATATACAAAATGGTCCAAAATAATTGGCGATAATTTCAGAGCTTTCTAATAACGTGAGTCATTAATTACTTTTCTTTTTATTTTATTAATTAATAACACAAGTAGAAAAATATATTTTATAATGTTCTATATGAACACCTTTACATCTCAAATAAAAGCGTCAAAACGCTTTTCAAAATTTTTGATGATCCTTGCACATTCTTCCACGATTATTTCGTGTCAAGCCTTTTCTAATGTCTTTTTATGTTGTTTGAAATTTATTTTAAATGGGAAAGTTTTTGAAGCTGATAATACATGAAATTGCAGTTATTTTTTATCATCTTGTATAAAAAGACCACTTTTATCGCATCATATCCCTCATTGAATCATAAAAAAAATTTCATTTGTAGATTAGCAGAATAATCTAACAATATTATATGCCAGGGATTTACTTTATTGGAATGTCATTTACTATACAAGAATATAATCACATATTTTGAGTTACAGTGAAGGCAATCATACAATCGGAGTATTACAAGCGTACTTTTCTCATTTTCTTTTTATCATCGATCCGTTATTGTGTCAAATGTAGAAGTAGATTAACTCGAAGCTGGTGGTGCTGTATTTACAGTTTCGGTAGTTGTACTTGCACTGTCGGATGCGATTGGTTTCTCTTGAAGCTCTAACCATGGTAATCGTTTTTGCAACTCGAGTCTATTTAATAATGTTTTTATTTAATTAATTAAATAAATAATTCATTAAAAATTATATGACAAATGATAAAAAGCTTAATCTTTAATTTCTAAATATTTCTTTTTTTATTATTTATATATTTTTACACACAAGCACACACACACATTACCTGTATTTTGGATGACTGATCGCATAAACATATGGATCAATACAGGCAACACTTTTGCAAAAGCATGCAGGTATCATAGTAACACCGGGAGTAAGCAACGCTTTGTTTCCAAATGCACCGATCATAGCAAGTACTGCGTATGGTGTCCATGCGGCAACAAATAGGAAACAAATCGTAATAGCAGCCTAAAAAATTAAAAAAATGTGTTAACTCGTTCTAACGGAAGATATCTAACAAAGTGTTGATTAAATTTAATATATATATATGTATACCTTCGCTATACGAATTTCAGCAGATTGAGCATTCTGATTGGCGTTACTTCGTAAACTTTCAACGTTCATCTTCTTTGCTTGTTCTCGAAGAGCTTTTTCGTGATTAACAACATGACTAACAATTTGACTGTAATAATATACAATAAGTGACATTGGTAAACAATAGGAGAAAATAAATAAAGTTAAAACGAAATATCTTGTTTCAGCGGTATCGGTTAAATAATCAAAAGAACAGCTTGTAAGAAATCCTTCAGGTACATAACGACCCCAAACACCCATCGCAGGCATTAATACCCAAGGCAAAACGTAAACCCAAATTAATCCAACGAAGAGGATCACTTGACCACGTGATAATTTTCCATCCAATGGTCTGGCTATGGTACTGATTAACAAAATAATATTAATATATCTATTATGTTATTTCATTTGAAAAAAAAAAAAAAAAAAAGAATTATTTATATTACCTGTATCTATCATATGCTATCGCAGCATTAGTTACCGCTGCACCAATGCCAGACAATGAACCAATCGTAGCAAAAATCTGGCATGCCAGATTGCCCAAAGCAAAGCCCGTGTTAAATGAATTGTATATAAAAATTGGTGTCTTCATCATCATGGCAAAATCGCAAATCGCAAGATTCACAACGAACATGTTCGAGGGAGTCCTCAAGGATTTGGCACTATCACAAATTAAAAAAAAAAACAAAAAAAAAAAAAAAAAGGAAATAAATAAAAATAAATAAAAAAGATAAGAGAAAGAAATAGAAAAAGAACAAAGTTTATTAAGAAATTACTCAAAGGGAATTGAAAAGAAAGTTGCGTTGATATAAATTAGCTAAAGAAAATTTGGAAAAAAAGAAAAACAAGAAAAATATGAATGTTTTAACTTACGCGCAAAATATCCATATGACGAGACCATTGCCAAGTAAAGCAATGAATGTGAATAATATATATAACAGGGCCAGCATATAATGAAGGGAGGGATTGGGCTCAGGAAAGACCAGCCAATGTTCCGGTACGTGTACCAATTCTTCGGCAGGGACGTTCCATCCCAATAGGCGTGGTGGACCTGCTGGTAGAACTCTCGCCTCCCAATGAATACTGTCGTTGAACATGTTGGTGGTCACCGTCTACCAGTCCCTCACCTTGTTTTTGAATTAACCAAGATGTGGCCTTTTATACCATATCCGTCAAATTAAATCCATGAAACCTTTAATCAGCATGAAGATATGGCTTCATTTGAGGATCAGCTACGGATCATCCCTTGATTACCGTTGGTCAGCAAGAGCAAGCTTCAAAGTCAAATCAATCGATTTCGAATTATAGTATACATTTTTATCTTCATTGCTGTTGACTACTTTTTCATAGTATCTTATTTTGTGTCGATTTCGTTCCATTTAAATATTCTTTGGTATCTATTTTTGTATGGAAGAAAAGTAGATATTTAATCCAACAAATCGGTTCTTTTTTAAAAGATTCTACCTCCCTGGATATATATATGTGTGTGTGTGTGTGTGTGTGTGTGTGTGTGTGTGTGCGTGTGTGTGTGTATGCACATATATATTGCTAGTGTTCTCAGTATTATGATAATTCTTTTTTCTTATATTTTACTTAAAAATTTAATAGATAAAGTACATTTGCAATGATTCATTTTATAAATTTCATTCTGCATTTCCACATTTCTACATTCAGTTCATAAACATATTGATCATATTGAATATCCTTTTTTTTGTTTTGTTTTATAATAAAGTATTGAGAAACTAATGCTGGTAATAAGAAATAAGATAAGAATGAAAAAAATAAACGTGATATGTTGGATAAATGATGAAAGTAAGAAACTCTATGAAACTATAATTGAAACTAATTTTGATAAAATTGAAACTAATAAATGTTAATGTCATTCCCTTCCTTGTCTTTCAGCAGATATATCGTTTAAAGTATATGCGGGTAAGTAATTAGATGGATTTTGAGGATCCTTCAATAAAGGATTCGGCAGTGTTGTTGTTTTAGTGCCGATACTTGTGTAACCCTTGTCATATAATGAACAATATGGTACTTTGTGTTTAAGTAAAAATCGCCACACTTGGCTATAGGTCCAGTATAATATTGGATTGACTCTCATTATGTTTGGCCATCCTGAATCGGTAACAGTAAATGCTTTTAATTTTTCTGACCCAGGATCTCCTTTCCTCGTACCCATTAGACTTGCTTTTAAGTAGTATTTATCATTTATAAGTTTATCCAATGCTAAACGCAATGGAGGTTCCTTTCTAATTAATTCTAAACCGTAATAATTAGCTGCTTCTTCTACGAATGCTTCCACCTATAAAAACATACCAATAGTATTTAAGTTATGTTTTATATTTGCTATATGTATAGATTTAAATATATTTATACCTCTGAAAATGGATCAGCTGCTACGTATAAACATAATGGAGAAGAAATTTTGCGTAATGCACAAATACAAGCAGCTAAATGTAACACAACTGTACAATCCTTTCCACCATTGAAACTTAGAAAAATTTCATTTGAATCGTATCTATAAAAAATGTATTACAAGTACGTACATACTTAAGCGATTATCTGTAACGATGAACTTACTTGTCATAACATTGTTTCAAAATGTCAATTGCACACTGCACATGTTCCTCGCTATTGCTACTATTAATAACAAGTTCTGCTTGTTCAATACTAAATCTTTCTTTTATATTCTGAATGATATGAGTTGGAATACATGAAATTAATTCTTGTTTTGCTTTAATGACATCGTTTTCAAGCCCTTCAAATGTAATTCTTACAGTAGGATTCACAAAACTTGATTCTCCCTGAGGATAACTTCCTATATTCACTTTATCTTTCCAACGTTGTGCTTGTTCATCCAATATCTTTACTAATGATAATTCATCTGATTCAATATCAATATAATCAAAATGTAATGGATTACCTTTCTTCAATTTAGGCATTATTGTATCTACTGCAGATTTAAAATATTTTGGAGAACCAGGAAGAACATAAATATTCGAGATTTTGATTACTGCATAATCATCTAAAAAAAATACGAAACTTATGCTTTCCCAAGACTACTACTATTTAACGACTGATTTATATTCACAAAAGTAATGTATACCAGTTGAATTAACATAGATAAGATCACAAGGACATGGTACTATAGATAAACGTTCTATTTCAGTTTTTCCAATAAGTAACTGTGTATAAAAATTCAACAACTCTTGATGTAACTCAAGTTTTACTTTCAATGCTTGCGCAATTCCTTCGTACGTAACATCATCGTGCGTAGGACCAACTCCACCAGATGTAAAAACAATAGAATATTTTTTGGATGCCTCAGAGACTTCTTGTGCGATTTCTTCTACCTAATACAAAAACCTAAAAGTAGTAAAATTGTTTATAACATATGAAGAGTACACATGAGTCATGATAAATAATAAAAATTTTTTTAAAAATAAAGTAAAATTTATAGAAAATTAAATTAGATTGCCATTAATTCGTACTCTTCATATGTATACATGCATAAAGATAAATATATTTTTCTCTTGATTTTTAGAATAGAAAAAATTCGGAATACACACTATGTCAGGTACCACTGTTATTTTGCAAAGCTTCACTCCTATGTTTCTTAATTTTTGTGCCAAATATGATGTATTTGTATCTACGATTTGTCCACGTAAGATTTCATTGCCTATCACGATCAGCCCAGCTGTATACATCTCCATTCCAATGTAATCTCTAAGTAAATTGAGATAAGAAATGATATATTAGTCAATATACATAGCTAATGTATAATTTATATCGATGAAAATTACGGACTATTACTATTAATTACGGACTAGTTCTGTACGTCACACAGGATTTGGTAAAAAAAAAAAAATGATAATAAAAATACACTTGTTAGGTTATATGCACATATATTTATTTACTTGTATAACAAATATAACAAATATAATATTTTTTATTAATCGTATAAAAAATTACTTTCGATACAAATAAGTTCAAAGAGTAGTAACTTTCATATTTGCATTTGTTCTACTAAGACTGTTGTCGCATCAGTTTGTACTGGCATTGAACTTCTGATTATTCTTTTATTTGCTTGCTTCTGCACTTTTTCAGTATTAGATTTCTTCTTATGTGATCTACACACTTCTTGATGCAATTCCTTCATTTGTTTGTTAATGTATGCTGTTTTATCCTTTGTTGTTGTTATTCTTGTTTTATTTACTTTCAAATCTATCTAATGGGAGAAGTATTAACTATTTATTTATGTTTTATTCTCACAGTGTATTTTCTATGATGAAATTTATTTTCAAGACTCACAATTAATATTTCAATGCTATTATTTTAGAAACTTACTTTCTTCAGATTTTTCACCATTTTCTCAGCTTTAGATTTCAATTTAATACTACGGGCTGTTGGTACTTGGAATACATTTTTGGTTTTATGAGTAACTTTCTTTTTTCCCATCGTTGTCTTTATTTCTATAAGTCAAACAAGAATTGCTATTTGTATCATTAGGATTTAAATGGAGATCAGTACATTCTTCTATTTTTTGTTTCTTCATTGCTGGCTCCTCGCCTTTAAGTACATTTTCAGTTAGCAAAAATGATACACGAATCATTTCTTTATTCGGAGAAACATCTCTAACATTATGAATATTGACCAATGAATCGGAGTACAACTTGCAACCAAGTTTGTTCTCTACTAAAGATTTTGCTGCTTTGCATGGATCTTCATTTTTTGGTAATTTCACAAAACAATAAAGATGTATTATAGGTGGATTAGAACAGACCTTCTTTATTTCTTCTAGAGTAAACCAATTTGGAAGCACATCTAAAAATTCAATAGCTAAAGCTGGTAAATTCATAGCTATGTGTTCTTTACCAATCGTATTATTATTTCTTCTATTGAGAATATTAGTTCTAACTATATCTCTTAAAAAATCTCTACCATCCATATTGTAACATTGGAAGTTCTGTTTGATTTTATTAATAACAGCATTTTTTTGTAACCATTTGTACGATTCTGGATTTAGATCATTTGCAAATACTTGAACTTTTTTGCGAGCTGCAGGAATAGCAAAAGGTCCTACTCCTGCAAAGACATCATATAAGACATCGTCAACTTTCATGTATGTCAATAGATTCATATGTTCTGTGGATAAACGTGGATTCCAATAAACTTGAGCAAAATCAAATTGATACATTCTGCCATTTTCTTTGACCGTAGTTACAGTATTGTTATCACCAGCCAATATTTCCATAGTAAAATGACGATATGTTGTGTCTATGGTATTTGTTTTATTTACAACTGTACGAGCAGTTGGTATTTTATCAAGAAAAACTTGTCCGATGATATTCTTGTAAGGTAATTGTGCATCGCGCAAATTTAAATGTACTATATGCCCTACTTGACTGAACGATGTAGGCGTTTCAATCTCTTCTGGAAGAATAGACTTCAATATATCTTCTGATTTCCAGTTTTCATATTTTAATGTCAATGAAGTTTTTCCAAAATATTCATATTGATCTTTTAGTAAGTTTCTATTAGTTTCATCAATATCTTCAAATTTTTCAACAATTTTTGGATTAAGGTAAACAATAATACCATCATCTCTATTTTGAACTGGTTTTAGACACTGTATCCTAAGTAGATACTTTTTTAATATTGGCATAAATTGTGAAATTTTAACTTTATACAATTTCAAATAAGGTATCTCTATAGTAGTAGTAAATGCATCACGATCCAAGCATTTCATACCGCGCACTGACACTGGAGGAACCAGCAAAGAAGTCATAGTGGTTTTATAAATGTAACGTAGCTGATTTAATATGGCAACCTTGGGTCCCAGCATTTACAGGATCAGACACTGGTTAACAATACCATAACATTTATTTATTAGTCAATGAATCATTTTTTTAAAAATAATAATTCATTGATTATATTAATGTGAAATTTAAAAACATGAACATGACAAACAGAATAAACTTTCACAAGAGTATCTGATCCTATATACGTAAAATGAACATTTATTCCTTTAGAATAAATGTTAACAATTTAAAGAGCTAGATATTAATACAGTCTCATCAGATTATTATTAATTTTTTTTATAAATGTTAACCCTTCAAAATTAAATCTAATAATTATGCAAGTCACATTTTATAAATCAAAAATTGGATATGCACATGTAAACATTCTAATAGTTTGAGATGTTAAACTTATGTAATGTTACAATTCTAGAGCACAAAAAAATAATTATTTACCTTAATTATCTACTCTTGAAAATATGTCGAAGCAATATTTAGAAGAGTTATCAAATTTTATTTAAGAAAATAACGAGTTCAATTATATTTTATTTGACGACAGCAATAATAGTTTTCTCTTAACGCCCTCTGTGTAATAAGAGATAAATTACCGTCTGTCAATAAGGAAGTTCATTGTTTGTATCAACTGCCATCTGTCGAAAAAAAATGTCAACTCTAATACAAATGTAAATCAACTCCGGTGAGAATGTTTTTTTTCTTCTTTTTTTTTTTTTTATAAGTTACTGCAATCGTATGCCATTGCTAGTAGAGGAGTAGTTCGTTTCGGACGGCGCATAGCCAGCGTCGATCCGCGGGTACTTTTTAGTACTTTTTAAAACAATACGAATTGTTTTATTCATTAACGAAGAAACAATAATTCTTTAAAATCAAGTAAAATGGATCCCGAAGCGTTCTTAGATATGGCCAACCAGGTCATTAAATTAAAAATGTTTCCATACTTCGACATTGCTCATTCTTTACTTTGTGCTCTACACGTCAGAGAGGATTTGGGACCCGGTAAGTCCTAGCCTACCAGATTAAATCTAAATTTAAAACTTGCCGAGCTTATGCCCCGAGATAGCTTCTACGGTACTCTCGACTCATTTTCTCGACAAACCTGATAGTTTACCACATTATATCATTATTTTATTATTACATTTACTGTTATTATGCAAGTTTACTACGTCTATTTGAATATAAAGATTTCGAGAATATATTTTGGACGATGCAAGGAGTTTTTAACCAACTTTAACTTTTCAAAAAACATTTATTATTTCTCTATGATTTATATTTAATTAAATATTTTATTTAATTACTCTTTAATACAGTATTATTCGTGTTCATCATTTTATAGTTATAATATATTTATTGAAATAATAAAAAAAGAATCCGTCAAAAAAAAAAGGAGAAAAAGATAAAAATCCATCAGACTGATCTCCGGGCATGACTATAATTAAGTAAAGTGTCCAATTTGTGGAATCTATTTTCAGAATACTACTATAAAGATAATAATATTATATACTTTAATCTGGCATAAGTGTATATGTAAATCTTATGTAATTATGATAAATATTAAAGAAAATTTAAATTAATTTTACGATATATAATATAATACAATATTATTTATTTGTGTCTCGGTACGTTCAATATATTATCGATATTTTATGATTCTTTATAAAGTTTATATTATGTTAATTCAATAAGTTCATGTAATAATTAATTGGTAATTATATTTAAAAAATGGATAATAATAGATAGCTTCAATCATATTTCTTAAAGATTGGATTACATTTAATAATATACGATTTAATAATTTTTAATAAAAATATATATTTTATTATTTTCATTAGCAGGTAATAATTGTTTAATAATAACGTGAAATATGTGAATTATAAGTATTATACTTTATGCTTCTGTGGATAAATTACATAATATGTATGTTACCCTGAATAAAGAAAATGATTTCTCAATAACTTTTACATGCGATCAAGCATGAAGGACATCTGTATCATTAGTTCTTAAGAAATGAATTTTTAATTCAAAGAAGTCTTCACCACAATTTCTTCTTATATGTATCAATTAACGTAATTTAATACAATTTTATACATTTTGTTCTGACTTAATTAAGTTAGATTTTTTATAAATTTTTGTAATTTAATTTAAATTATTATTTATAATATTGGTGACGTATGATCATAACATGTTATTATTCTTTGATACAACAGGTGCACAAGCTTTTTCACGAAAACATCCATTATCATGTTGGCTCTCTACAATGTTAGTAGTGTTTGCAAGTGGTATGCTTTGCAATGGATTATTAGGTGAACCAATTTTAGCACCATTAAAAAATACACCACAAGTAATAGTTGCAACTGTTGTTTGGTCAGTATATAAACTATACTTCTGTTATATATAATATTTTCTGATTTATTAATGGAAATTTATTTTTCTAGGTATGTAATATTTTATACACCATTTGATATCGGATATAAAGTAGCTAAATTTTTACCAGTGAAAATTGCATGTTCCGCGATGAAGGAGATATACAGGTATATACAAAATTTATTTTTATTTTTTTTTTTTTAAATAAATTATATTTATTTTTTGTTGTAGATGTAAAAAAGTTTATGACGGTGTGACTCATGCAGGAAAACTATATCCAAATGCATATCTTATCATGATATTAATTGGAACACTTAAAGGTTTACTTTCTAATTAATTATAATATAGAGGATTTAAAAATAACTGTACTAATAAGAAAAATATATTTTTTAGGTAATGGTGCTGGATTTACAAAGCTTTTTGAACGACTTATACGCGGTGTATGGACACCTACTGCTATGGAATTTATGCAACCTAGTTTGTGCGTATACTTTTTTATATA